GCGAAGCGACGAAGAACACTGATATTGGAGAAATATCGCGCCAGATAACCAGCTCTTCTCTCATGCCAAATCTGATATCACCCAAAGCGGGGTTCATAACAGAACCCCTAACAGTGAACACAGGTAGGCATCTTTGAGAGATCACCGCTTATACATGTATATATCAGTGCCTTCAGGAATAAATCCATCACACCAACTTTCTCTGAAATCCTTTCTTCTTCTCAAAGCCAATTCTGAGCACAGTGTATGAGCCAATATGTAATCATCTCAAGCCCGGCAGTACTCAGGGTTCTTAGTTCTCTTGCCTTGCAAAGACTTGGTGTCAAGCTTCCCACCTGTATGGAGCCGTATGATGCAGCCGCCTTCGGCCGGCGACGAAATCTCTCCCAAGCTGTGGGTTCATGTGCCAGCCTTGGAACAGGAGTCTTGTAGTGGCCTTTTTGCTGCTGTTGTTGGAGTGTTCTGGCAGGTTCCCCTCGGCGAACAGCGGCATTGCAGTGGTTGTTTCTCCTTGCAGAAGGCCATGGTTGAATGAGAGCCTGTTGTGCATGGCGGCACTCATGACAGTGTAAGATGTCGTATGCCGTGTGTCCAGGACAAAGCGAACGCGCAGCCACTGTGGAAGAAAACGGGCGTGTACGAAGCCTGGCTCTACCAAAACAAGCTGCTGGCTTGCAGTGATCGGGCACAGCTTTACCAACCGTTCGGAGAATTTAGGTTTCTGGGATCCACTTTGGCAGTCGGCAACTTCAGGCTCGGGCATTGGTGTATCGGTGGCAAAGAAGCACGGCTGCGGGAGTTTGACTGGAACCGATGCTATCTCTACCAGACTGCACCTCAGGACGGGTTGCTTTCATTGAACCCCTGTAGAACTCTATAGTATAGATCGCTTATACTAGCCCTTATAAGGTTTTGATAAACTAGCTGCAAAGCAGGATCCGCACCAAAGCCGTGCGGGATCGCTTCTTATCGCATCGCAGCCGTGGCAATGGTGGGACAGCGTTGGAAGGAAATGGATCTTGGATCCCAACATCCGCATCTCGGCGAGACGTTCTCGGGGCGTCTGTTTACTCTGAACTCTGAGCCCACACCCATGGCCCTGAGGTGTTTTGGACGTTCCGCATGCATCTTCAGACCAGCGCCAGATGCTAGCGCAGCACGAGGTGAGAGGGAGCCAGAGCAAGGTTGCCTGCACAAAACATGGGCCTAGCTTTGCTTGAATGCATCTCCGAAAGGAAAGTTGGTGGACATGTGGATATGCTGAACAGATAGTGCGAGAGATAGGTGGCTATGTGCACAGGCACAGGTGGACAGTGAAGCCGAAAGCAGAATGCTAGAGCGGGAGCGGTTGCGAGAGGTGAGCATTGAATCCTATTGAATCCTAAACCCTGAACCCGAAACTCCACACTCTGTCTGAGCCCTTAAAACCCCCCAAACCCGAACCTGACAGCATCGAACTCGTTCCAGGTGACAGCATTGCGGGGTGCAGCTGAAGTGTATCGGAGGACAGCTTCCGAAGGGAGGTCAGTTGGCTTCGAGCCATCGCAGACGTTCCTGCTTTGCAATGTTTTGGAGTTCAGGAGGATTTCGGGCATGATGACCAAGTTGCTCATGATGTAGACTTTGGGAGGTGTGCCGTATTCCTCCATCTTCGCCCCTTCTAGGCGCAAATCCTGGTGGCTGCCGCCAGCGCCGCCCCAGCCGGAAGTGGACGAGACTTCTTTCATCGCCGAGCGTGCTGCCGGACCGGTCAAGCCTGTTTTGGGTTTGGGGCTTCGGGTTTTGAGTGAAACCCTCAACACTCCGAACCCTAAACTCTAAACTCGAAGCCCTAAGCCCTGAACTCGCCCTAAACCCTAAACCTAATCCTAAACAGGTTCAGGGTTCCTTCTCCTTTCAATGGGGTTGCAGGCCCTGCAGGCCTTGGGGCGGAAGCCACTATACCTGTAGATGTTGAGCCGTAGACCAGGAATCCTGAACCCCAAATCATCAACAGTCGAGACGACAGGCCGTAGCCTTCTAAGACTAACCTTCATGAGCCATAAACTTCAAAAGTAACTTGTATAGTACAGTTCAGTTCTACAGTACCCCCTATGTAACCCGAAAACTAACCCTTGTTTTGAAACCAGTCTAGGAGGAGCCTCCCAACTGCGCCAGGCCTGGTCACGCTGGGAGTGGACTTGACATCGCCGCTCTTCACCGATGCTTGGATCTGCTCAGCGGATCCCGACAACCATGCCTCCTT